ACATAGTGAACTCAAAGCTAAAATAAAACATAACTTGGAGAATTTGGGCAATTTTGTTATTTTGGCCAAGTATTTGAAATTTACTTTGAATCCCCAGCCATTCATTCTTTATTGAATAACCCTTAGATCATATGTATTAAAGAGAATAAAACTCTGCAATAATGCTAAACTAAATAGTTATTTATTTCCTTAATCTATATAATACAGGTTTTGCTGCTACTCTAAGACGCAGTTCCCTGCTGCCCATGCTGACACCATCCTGCACCATTACCGCCTGTACTCTTGATGCCAAACTTGTGTGAGGAGGAGAAATTGACATTGGGTTGAAGGTCAAAAGATGACATGGGTATAGGCTAATGTAGACACTGAGGGGAGGGGAGGTGTTCACACTGCACTGTGACATAGCAACAATGCATTGATGAGGGGGAGAAGATGAAACTAGGGTGAGGGGAAGAAAACGAGACAGGGACAATTTGATAGAGGTACTAGGGCAAGAGGGTGGTCAGATTGGGGTGAAGAAGAGTTTGTGACAATGTGAGGGAGATAATGACAAAACATGATTCAAAGTATGGTGCAACATCAGCAGAATCTGCTTGTTCCAAGAGAACGTGCCTGCAGAGTTATGGGTGGAGATGGGGAGTGGGTAAGTGAAGGACATTGCGGAAGTGGCCATCAAATTCTGCTTTGCAATCAGGTCCAAGTTATCTTTGGAACCTAGAAACATCCCTGGTGCAGCTAATTGTAAATAATGACATAATTCTACTTAGAGCATGAGATCTCTGGGTTAATTCATGCAAAGCATTATTTATCATGCAGTTACTGAATCAAAATGATAATTGAGTTACGTAATATTATTATTGCTAATTTAATATGTTTATTTCTGCATACAATGCCATAGGGAAACGCACTCCAGAAATAGCACAAATACAAAATCTATGGAAATGACAGTCTAAATAATCTAATAAAATAAGTTGGTGTTTATATTGCCTAATATCTATATTGCCCAAAAGGTTAACTTAGCTATCACGTATTACTTGTATAATTTATGGGACACTACAGGCTGTAATTTTTTAAGACATAATATAATACTATAAAGAAAATACATAAAAAAATAAAAAAAAAACTTTAAAAATATACTCACCTTTAAAGTTTCTGCTTCTGGTGAAAACCTTTTATAAAATTCTAGATTTTGTGGTGAGTTTTTCTCAGACTGGAAAGGAGCTAAACACTCTTAATCACGTCTACAAACTCCTCCCCTGCCAGAGTGGGTATAGAATGAAGAAATTGGACCAGTATAATTCATGAAAGTACATGACTGAAACTACTAAGACCTTTGTCATCTTGCTCTGTATTTTCATGTACACAATTTAAAGGGACACTATACTCAAAAAACAACTTTAGCTTAATGAAGCAGTGTCAGTTTATAGATCATGCCCCTACAGTCCCACTGCTCAATTCTCTGCAATTTAGGATTTAAATAAACTGCTTCATTAAGTTGTTTTGGTGACTTTAGTGTCCCTTTAAGTGCACAATAGTGAAAATAAAATAGAAACATATTTTGTATCAAGAAAGTTTCCCACACATATTGAAGAAAGTGTCTCGATGTAATATTATGAGAAAAACAATCTGTAGATTAGTGGGGAGTTTGTTTTTTTTAATATGAAGAAAAAGAGATAAGGTAATGGCTAGGCATGTGCATGGGCAAAGAATTTGGTTCAGTTCGGAAATTCGGATAGTAAAACAATGTGTCTGGTTCAGAAATTTGGACCAATGGCATTCGGTTTGGCACTTCGATACTGCCGAACATCGTCACTTTGGTAGTTTGACTTTGGTAGCTTCGGACATTTAAGCATACGAATGTGCGAATGGCATGAAATTCATACGAATGTACATTCGGAACAAAACTAATTTTACGTCTATTGCTCATTTCATTGGACAGGGAATAGTTAAACAGGATTGGGCAAGCAAACATTACATTGCACAAAAGGAATTAGATTATTGGTCAAGATTCCTGTCATCATTCACGTAATTTTCCCTTCCTCTCTCTTGTTTTGCCCATTTTCAGAAATCTGAATCACTTCGGCACATTGGAGCTTCAGAGCTTCGGCTCTTCAGAGTTTCGGCACTTCCAAACTACCGAACTACTGAACTTCGGGACTTCGGCACTTCGAACATTCGTAAATGTCCGAATGGCATGAAATTCATAGAAATGTACATTTGGAACAAAACGAATTGCACATGTCCAGTAATGACTAAAGTTTGCAACTCAGGTGTTTGGCCAACCTCAAAGTACCAATATTATCATTACTAATGAACCAGACAATTCCAACAGGACATTGAATGCAAGAAGGTACGTTCACAGGAATCTCTTTCTAGATTATTCAGTTTATTTATTATATAGAAATAGGCAAACTTAAAGGTCTGAAAAGGTCTAAACACCCATAGTAACATGGGTTGCATTTCATCTTTCCTACCTTATGATGAAATCTCATTTATATCATAAAACTGGCACAGTCCACTGTTTCACATGTCATAAATGCCATCATGCATGTTTGGCAGGTACAAAGCTAGGCATAGTTTACCATGTTATACTGGAGAAAAAGGTGGACATGAGGTTGAACATGTGAATTACCAATGTTTGTCTAAAGAAATATTGAACAAGAAAATAAGCTTTCAATTGTTTTACCTGTGCTTATGGGTAGAATGTTAACTGATTCCTTCTGGATCATTAGAAGTATCTTCCCATTATAGAGTTGGAGAACCAGCACGGCAGATTCTCCGGCAAGCTGGGTAGAGAGCAGAAGACCATCACTGTTCCATGTGCGAAACTGGAAACTAACGGACAGGCCGTCGATTTGTGAAGTTCCAGGAAGCAGGAGATAGCTTGTGCTGGAGCTGGTAAAAGTGACAGGAACCACATGGGACTCTGAACAGGAAAATGATATGTTCCCCTGAAATAAATAAATAATTACATAAGTAAAGATTGCATGAAAAATATCTATTTGCAATTTATCAGCCTAGAAATGATTAACCGTGGATTTTTTTTTTTTTTATCTATATCATAATTGTCACAAAGAACAGGGGATATGGGAATTACATTTTGCCGAAATTTTCATTGTGCATCTATTAGATATTCGCAATCAAGGCTCAGAACTAGGTCACTGGCTTATACATGATAAGATACATAGCCATTTCAGTTGTTTCTCACTTTATTTAGAGTTCAGGCTCCATAGTGAGTTGAAATCTTTGTAATATTAATTATGTATGCATTAAAGCTAATTCATACTATTGTTAATAATAGATGAGGTACATAAATTGAATCTAGTCAAGCAAGTAACCAAGAAAATGGGTGTTTTCTCAGGTCACCTATTATTTTCAAAGAAAAATACTGTGGGTGGACAAAATTATTAGAGTATGTCAATAAACAAAATATTATGGGATTAACATATGTGTATTAATCAATATCTTGCTGAACTTAAAAACCTAATGTCTTACCCCAGATAAAACATACAGGTATAGGTGCTCACTAAATACTATACAAAAGGCAACAGTCAATCTTTACAAGGATTCTCCAAACCTTGTAAGAAAATACAGGTAAAGTAACCTCTCATTTTTTACCTTCAGCATTTCATTTCTGTCTCACAAACTCATTGTCCTCATTAACCCAGTTTAACTTACTTCCCGCCTAACATTATGATGTCTTATTAATATTTATAGAGTCCCAACATAGTTACAGCAATGTACAATAGGTGGACAAACAAGGTGGACAAACGAGTTGGGCATACAGGAATGAAGGCTTAGCTCTGGCAAGCTTGTATTCTAAGAGGTAGTTGGGTATAATTTCCCCATATTATGCCATATAATGACTGTATAATATAAGTTGTCTGTACTTAGATAAAAATGTGTTAAATAAACACACTAAATGGAGTCAGCGAACAATCAAAAATTTCAACATAAAACTACACTACAGCTCGAGGAGAATATCCATGTAGAAAGTCAAGTGCTAGAGCCTTAAATATTAACTAATGTTGTGAACATTGCAATTGAAAGAGCCCCACTTTGCGAGGTGGCCAATGGAGTTTCCTTTAGAAGATGTTACCATCTGTACCTAATCAAACAAATCTCCATACGTTAAGCATTCATTGTATGTAATATCATTGAAATGTGCTCATTAATTAAAAAGTTATTGACTCCTCAAACTTCACTCTGAATTTTGTTCACCTTTTGCTGTCATTCACTTGACAATGAATCTTCCCCCTGGGTGAACTGCATTTTATATTTTGTGTAATTACATCCCACTGTCATTAGACTTTCAGGTAATTTGAGCAGAATCCTTATCACCACTCATTCCTTTATATCAAACCTATTTTGATTACGCGTTGTACAGAATGAAGGAATACTTTAACATATTAATGCATACGTAGATAGAGTTGATGTTAATGTTACTGTTTTTTTTTTGCCTTGTTCATTTATAACACACTTTATCCATGACTTTTGAAAGTTGTATATATAACATTGTGTAACTATCTATGATGTCCCTCTACCTGCTTGTTATATTTGGCATATTTTTCAATAAAATTAAAAAAATCATTGAGTTGTGTTGTTGGCATAAAGCACTGGTTTAAAGGGATAATCTAAGCAACATGACTACTACAGCTTTTTGTGGTGACATTTTGATCTCACTATGCTATTGAGTCAGAATTATTGTACACAATTTGTGGCTAATTTAGGTTTGACAAAGACTCCATTGTGAGTCGAAATGTTGCAGCATTCCACTTGTTCTAATAAAGGTGCCCGAAGGCATTGGAATGCCTGGACCCCTTTTTATAATACTGGAATGCGTTATCTTCTAATGCTGGCCCTAGGTTCAGCTAAGCACCCTATCTTTAGTGAATTGAGTGTGGTTTCTTTTCCATTTCTGTAATTTAGGTTTTGTTTTATTCAATTTAATATATGTGTACTTTAAAGATAAAACTATGAATTCCACAACAAAGTCCAACATCTGAAACACTTGTCACTGCTGGTTGTTCCATAGTTTACACAAATTCTGGGTTTAACTTCATTGCTTTTATATGTGGGTGTGTTAGGTGTGTGTATTTGACTTTCACGTTTTTGACCAAAAGGTGTCTCAAGTGCAAAAGAAAATAATTTAAAACACACTCACAAACATACACACTATGTTTATTAGGCTTAAAGATGATTAAATATGCTACACTATTCATAATACTTTTTAACTCTCTTCTTTTATATAGATCTGATCATATATACTTTGCCTGACTATCTGAGATATTATAGCTTTTCCATATTACCGGTATATGCACTTTAAGTGTGTTTATACATATTTACCAATTTGCACTTTATTTTTGCACCTGAGAAACTATTTTTAATTTCTGATTTGCACTTTTTGGGATGTTTGAGGGAATCCAGTCGAATTTGCAGCACTTTCATATTTGCATTAAATACTGATCATCAGTGGCTCATTATTAGAGATGTCCCGAACAGTTCGCCGGCGGACAGTTCCTGGCGAACATCGTATGTTCGCGTTCGCCACGGCGGGCGAACATATGCGATGTTCGGTCCGCCGCCTATTCCATATCATTGAGTTAACTTTGACAAATCCCCACCCGCCGCGCGGGGGGGGGGGTTGTCAAAGTTAACTCAATGATATGGGGGGGGGACCTACTGTCCTCCCCCCGGCCCCCACCCCTGAGCGGTGGGTGGGGGCCCTAAAAAAAACAATAGGGGGAACTTCTGTCCCCCCCCGGCCCCCACCCCTGAGTGGTGGGTGGGGGCCCTAAATACTAAGAAGGGGGGGACCTAATGTCCTCCCCCCTGGCCCCCACCCCTGAGCGGTGGGTGGGGGCCCTAAATTGGAATAAGGGGGGGACCTAAGGTCCTCCCCC